CGCGCGCTCCCCAACCCAGGCTCGGCCGTCTGGGGCAGCTCCGGCGGCACCTGGCAGCGGCGACCGCGACACACAGACCCCTCCGCCCGGCTTTCCTCGGGCGCTACCCAACACACGCCCCCCACCCCCGCCCAGAATGTTCGCCCACCCCACCCCACCCAGCTCTCTACGGCCCCGGCTCCTTTTTTCTCCCCTTCTTGTCCGTCAGCTCCAAAGCGCAAATCCTGGGGTGGGGTGGGGTGAGGCGAGCAGCTGGAGGGGAGACTGGGCACGCACGGAAGAATCTTCCAGGGAGGCCGAGATGGAGATACCCCAAATGAAATGAACCTCCCTCCTGGCCGCCGAGGTTTTCTGGGCGGCGGCGCAGCCCCTGCCACCCGCGGCAGCATCACTACCGTCTTCCTCCCAGCTCCCCTATTGTTCACACTTTGCCAGGATCAGGAACCTCGCTCAAAGAAAGGAGACTGGGGCGAGGTGTTTCGGGCGACTACCTGCCATTCTTCTCTCGCCCCGTGCAAACACGGGCTCGCGGTGCGTGTGAAGGCACACGCGCGCACACACGCGCGCACACACACCAGACAGCCCGATCACGCCCTCCTCGCCCTCCGCCCCTCTGCACTTCCTCCTGTCAAAACGCCGCGCTCGACCCTCCCATCCCTCCGTGGTCTGGCCCGAGAGCAGGCTTTCCAACTAACCAGCAATTTGGCAAATGAAGAACTAACGTCATATCGACAGGGGTGCAACAACGGCCACACAGCCCTGAGATTCTGACCATTTCGCCCCATTTTGCAAACCGTTATTTGGCTCAGGGTTGCGAGGGGAGCAAAGGCGTTGAGCCCCACTTTATTAGAGCCGGGAAAATAACGATTGGGAGCGGCTGCCCCGGCCTTATTGTTCACTCTTCGCGGAGCCAGGGCTGACAAGCCCCTTCCCCACGGACTCCGAGCCTGTGCGGCGGCACCACCTAGCCGCGGCATCCTCCGCCCCGCCGCCCGCCTTCGGGGAAGGAGCGCTGCCCATCCCCGGCTCGGCCGCAGCGTCCCCGGGAGCAGGGGGCTCCGCTCCCAGCGCCGCGAGCACACAAAGTGGGAAGGGCGGGCGCGCTGGAGGGCGCCCGGCGCTCGCTGCGCGGGGAGGCTGCCCGGG